CATCCACTTAGTATTTGGGGCTGGGACCAGCCCCCTAGACCTCTCCACTGATTCCCTACTCCGCGCCGGCATGTTGTCTTCACACCTTGGAGCACTGGGTTGAAGTTTGGTCCCTCTTTTCCTGTGGAGACATAAACAATACCCTCCCCTTGGGTGGGTTAGCGCCCTGTGCCCCCGCTACCCTAACTCTTTAAGGGAGTAGAAAGCTCCTCCTCCTTTCTCTGCAGGAGCTGCTGGTGGTTTTGAAATGATGACCTTGTAGTTAGCAACCCAGCACATAACCACTATGGCACCAGGCCTGGCACATGCCTTCAAGAAACAAAACAAAACAGAACAAAAACCCCAAACAACAGAACATAACCATTGCCACAGAGGCAGTTCTAACTCACAGGCAACCCTCAGGACAGAGTTCAGCCACTGCACAGGGGTTGCAAGGTTGTAAATCTGGGCAGAAGCTGACTGCCAGGTTTTTTCCTGTGGACCGGGTGGTAGGTTTGAACTGCCGGCCCTTTGGCTGGCAGCTGAGAACTTTAACCACTGTGTCTGCAGGGCTCCTTAGTTCTATGGCTGTAATTGGATTCTGCTCAGGCTCCTCCAGGTTTGATCATCCTTTTCAGTTGACTGATGAGTGATGATATTAGCTGGTGTTGGATCTGCCGCCTCTCGCCCCAGATCCTCTGAAAAGAGGCCTTTCTGTTCTTCTTAAAGTCATGGAGCAGAAAAATAAAATGACCTAAACCTACACGATGTGTCCAATAGCCTCATATGCACATGAAAGCTGGACAACGAATAAAGAATTGAAGCCTTTGCATGGTGGGGCTGGGGGAGCCTATTGAACAGCCAGAAGAACACACAGACGCACAGTCAGAGTGCTCCTGAGAGGCAAAGAAGGGGAGACTCTGCCTCAGGTACTGTGGACAGGTTGTCAGGAGAGACCAGTCCCTGGAGAAGGACATCATGCTTGGTGAAAAAGAGGAAGCCTCTGGATTGAGACCACAGGTTGCAACAATGGGTTCAGAGAGACAATGACTGAGAGGAGGGTGCAGGACCGGGCGGTGTTTCCTTCTGTTGGACACAGGGTCACTATGAGTCAGAGTGCGCTCGATGGCACTGAACGGTGATAGCAAGGTGCTCTTTGTAAAGCAGTGGCGAGGAACAGCTCCCGATGCAGAGAGGAATGAGGAGGTGGCGGAGAGAAGGGACAGACACACACATGCTGTGTGTAGTGGACATTTGCAGGTGTCACCTTCCATCGTCCCTTCTCCTGGCTCAGGGAACAGTCTCTTCATGTTCCTTTGGGGAACCAGCTAGGACTGTCAGAATACAGAACTCTCAGGTGAATTTGCTCCACCATCCAGTGTGCGCTAGAGAGGGACATGCTGTTTGGTACTCTGAGAGGTTCACCAAACGAAGCAAACCCTTCATGGGATGGATTGACACAAGAGATGTAGCCATGGAATCAAACATTATGACCGGTGTGAGGATGGCCCGGGCCCAGGTCATATTCTGTTCTGTTGTACACCGCGACTCCGAGCCAGCTGGGCGGCAACAAACCAACACAACAGCCGGCCTTGAATTTCCGATCAACAACGGATTCCTTTCTTTTCCGTTTTTGATATCTCAGTGTTGTTCCAGAGGCTATACTGATGATCAGAACATTCATTGTTGTTCTGAAATCCAGATGTCACTGGTCCCCTGTGGTTTTGTTTGCTGCAATTGGCAGCCACCGCTCTTTCCCTTTGGCAGATACCCAGGTGGGATTGATCCCTCATCCCCTGGTCCCAGGACTGGGCAGGTGACTGGGCGTGGCATATTCCATCCCTCCAAACTGTAGAGACCACTTTGGGGAGAGACTTGTGCCCCCAAACGGGTCAGTGCACTTTAATTCTGGGAACCTGGATGGCACCAGGGAGAGATTCCTTATTTTCCTTGGGGCTGCTCAGTTGGGACAGGGGCTCCATGGGCCTGGTGCTTGATGAGAACCTGCTTGAAGAGAGGAGTCAGCGGAGAGTCAGGGAGAGGGAGAGAAAGGAGCTCAACCCATGAAGACTTCCTCCCTGGGCTCCTTGACTGGCCTTATCAAAGGACCTCTCTGAGGCCTCCCTGAAG